CTTCTAGTATTTCTTGTTTGTTGTGATTTGGTCAAGCAGTGCTACTACCGTGTGCCTTGGCACGTGCCAAGACAGTTTAACATGCTCATTTTAAAAAAGACTTGGCACACGTGCTAAGTAAAAACATCTCCTAATTGTTTTAAACTTGTTTTCTGAGAAACAAAATTTATAATTAGGAAAAAAAGTGTTGAAAATTTATACATTGGCCCTTCAACAACCACTAATTAGGGAATTCAATTTCAATCCCCAATTTCCCAGAAATCTAATTTTTCGTTTATCACTTTCGATCTTCTTCCTATGAGGGTGCCTTCTACAGACTATCATCGAAGGTCGGGTCAACCGTTGGTGGTCAGCTCTGGTCGGTGCGGTCTTTCCCGTGGTGCGCGTTGATACTATCGCTGCAGGAAGGGAGGTGGATGGCTGCGGCTCCGGCTGCCCGTCAAGTGGCTGAGGTGTCGGTTCGGCGGGCTGTCCTTCTCGGGTCTCTTTTCCCTTGGTGATGGGATTACGGGGTCAGCGGCGTCTCTGATCTCGAACAGCGGTGGACTCGGATTTTGTTCTAGGAGGTGAGGGTCCAGTTAGACTTTAAGTAGTTTTTGGAGCGACTTCTGGAGGTGTGGTTCGATCCAGTGGGGCGGTCGACTATGTGCTTCTTGGTGTCTTTCGGTTGTAGAAGGACTATTTCTTATTTAGTTTTGTTAGGTTTGCTAGTATTTGAGTTAGGTGTGTTTGTTAGTGTCTTTCTTCTTGGTGTTGCATTTTTATGGTTTGGGTCTTTTGGTTTTCGATTTTATTCTTATGTGAATTTCCTTTGAAATTTTTTCGTATTTTAAAGTGGTGTTTGGTGGTCAGGTTACTGACAAATAAGTTGAGAGCTTGAATAAAAGGTTTGAGATTTAGCTGCTTTTCATACACTTTTGTTCATTATTATTCTTTGTTGGCTTGTGTTTTTCATCCACTTTTCACCATCGGTCGATTTCAATAGTCATCTGGTGTTGGCCCTGCCACTTTCTCTTCTATCAACACTTGGATCTCTTGAAAACCACTCATAGTAGCAATTGGATCCCTTATTTGGCCAGCCCAATCGCCCTCAAACGTGACATTTTTCCAATCCATATTAAATCCAAATTAAAGTCTTGACTGCACTTGGACATGGCGATAGAATCAAAAGGAAAAATAAAAGAAAGGCGATTAAAGTTATCTGATTACTAGAAGTATGCTACGAATTCGGCAATCTTCAAACCCTGGTTTTCAAAAAATCATTAAGGAAAAGTTGAAAGCATAAGTAAAATTCAAGAAGTGCAAATACTTTATTTATAGAAACTACTCCTGCCTCTTCAATCAACCTACAGTGACCTTAAGGCACCATATCTGACAAGTTGGAAGTTTACATTGATTCCCGAAAAATGTCATGAGTTGGCACCTCCATATGCAACCATGTATCCCCCCATTCCTAAAAAGACATGTTCACGATGAGTTTTCCTAAAAATCCTCTCTTGTCATTAAAATGAATTATTGATAGAACACCTTATCATCTGTCAGCTGGTATTGGTGGTATTGTGTGATTCTTTTATGATTTTAGAGATGTCCCTGTTTGGCGATCCAAAATTTCCACTCACCCAAGCGATCGTCCGAAAACAAAATATGCAGATAGCTTCCCCTTCCCCTAGGACGTCCAAAAACATAGAGGGCCTCTTATTGTATGCCAAACTTTCCTGGGAAAGTCTAAGAGATGTATGATTCACATAAACGAACCAACCCAAACCTATCCAAACCCACATTTTGAGCCCATAAAGCTGACAAAGAAGTCCAGGAGTCCTTTATTAGCATTGTGCCAATTCGTCCCTAATTGCAATGTCGATTGTCAACAAGATTTATTTCTCTCTCTATAAAATGTGAATAGGAACCAACAAATCAAACTGATAAAGAGACCACCCCCCAACGGGTCCCATTATCAAAATCCAAAACGAGCGTCCCATCATCAAAAGTCAAATTTTTGCATGGCGACACGTGTCAACCACCTAGCCCTTATGATGACATACCACCATTATTAATTTTTTACTTTATTCATGTATAAATGAGGCTCTAAATACCTCACAAACCAAACAAAATATTACACAAAAATCATATACTTAAGCAATTACTCTCAGATATATTCAAACACTTACTTTCTTTTCTATAATGCTTTTAACTGTATATGTTCGACTAAGAGAATTAATTATGGGAATCGTAAGTTTATATGCTTCTTTATATTCATGCAATTACATAGGTTTCGCAACTGATATCATAATAAAATTTCTATTTCGAGTACACCTAAAGTCAATAAGCCCACACGACCAGCAGATCTTGGAGTTCTTCTTCAGAAAAATAAAAGTGCATACCCAAGACTCGAGCATAGACCTGCAAAAGGGCATAAACGGACAAAACCAGTGTAAGAATCGAGGGAATTACGGGTGCAGATCCACACAGATGAAGCGCACTATGACAGAAAAACCCAGATAAAGCCCAAGTTAGGTTCCATCCAAAAACTAATTGGTGAAAGGAAGAGCAGCCCACGCGTCTTATAAGTTGGGTCTATTTTTTCTTTATAAACGATGTAAGACAACTCACAATTGGTATTATATTCTAATAATCAGCATGCAATAACTAAAATTAATTTGTAAATCTCCCCTTTTCTTAGTTTTCTCTATTTTGAAAATTCAGGAGTTGAGAGAGAGAATACCCGGCGCAAAGGTCGAACTAGTGAAGAAATTTGACGAACGACATCAAAAACAAATGTTGTAGCAACGAACAAACCACCGGGCTTTAAAACACGACTTATTTCTGCGACCTATTCAAAAGTAGATAAGAGCCGATTTATAATGACAATCACACAGATACAAACGTATGTCAAGAATATGTATCATTGATGTGAACTTAGTCGAGTAATTTCCACAGCAAATACGAAAAAATTTGTGTTGGTTTACATTATACTCAAAACTACAAAAGGTCGACAAATACAATAGAAACAAATACAGTTGCAGCCTAACTATATATCACTGCACCTGAATATTTGTAAAGCTGATGCTAACTTACTAAAATACGTGTTATTGTAGTAATAGCTTGCACTCCAACAATGAAACATTATTAATGTACGAAATAACATAAAACCCATAATCGAAAACAAATAAAAGGCAATAACAGAGTAATCATATAATTTTGAGGTGAATTAATTTATGCAGATTGATTACAGCTGCCAATGGCGAAGGCCAACAGTGCAAAGCAGCGCCAGCATGAACGGCATCAACGCTACCCGAAACAAACGGTAGCCTCGAAATATCAGCTCTGACCAAAGTCAAATTCCTGATTCCCAATAAGTATTAGTTACTAGAAACGGTAATGGTTGAATTCCAAAAAAAAAAAAAAACTATCGAATGAAATTGACATACGTACTCTTTGGGAAAGTTATTTTCCTGCTTAATAAACTCAAAACATTGCTTAAGCATTGTCTCAGAGAAATCCAAAGCCACGACATGAGAAAACAGTCCGCTTCGGGAAAAAAGTCGAGAAAACATGCCGCTCCCACAGCTTGCGTCAATAACATTACCACCCAAGACCGGTTTGAGGTAGTCTTTGATCATTTCAAACTACACTCGTATGTACGTATCAAAACGAAACGAAATTCACAAAAAGAACGAAATGAGGATGACAAAGTAACTGGTTAAAGCTTATTCACTAATTATATGATACTATAGTTGGAAAAAATTACCTCCTTTTCTGGACCTGGAAATCCACCGAAATAAAAACATTGCCGCCAACCTCTTTCATAGAGGTACGAGATCAATGGTAACCTGTTTATACATAGACAAATATGAACGTTTATAAGGTGACAGAATAAACATTACAGTAATTACATGACAATTTTCGAATTAACTTGGTAATGAACCATAACAACTCATACTCAATCTAGCTTTAAGCAAACCTGAAAAGCTGAATAGAAGCAGGCGAATGTTCACTCGACACGTTTTGACCAGCGACAGTAATTGTTAAGTCAACGTGTGAGATATTATTAGCCGAGTATAGTTTCCTGCATGTCTTACACTGCACAATCGATTCACCTGCAAATTCCCTGCATATACGATCTTACTTTACGAATAAAAAATGCTTCTTTTGTCTATTATTATAACACATGAATAACTCGACTTACAGAGATGACGACGCGTTCTTAACATTCCAAGTAACACGTTCATAACAAATCGGGCATGCTAGAATATCCAACTTTGTGTTGCTCATAACCTACATAATAACAACGTTTGAGTTTTGTTGATTAAAACATAAAGTTGAATAGTTTTGTTGCATGCAGAGAATTAACTGGTTTTGGAGGAAGCATATGGGAAGACATAAAGGCATGCAAGCTTCTTCCTCGGGCCGGGTTGAACCTGGGCCGAAGCATTACTATATTCCCAATATTGTTGCTATTTGTGGAGCTATAGAAATCAAATCAACTCATACTCTTATACAAATTAATGTGCAGTTTTCGTGTGTTAAAACTGAATTGCACATATTAAGGAGGCACAAGAGAGCTTTCAAAACTGAATTGGCTATGAATTAATGGATTAGATCACACACAAACACAATTGCATACCCTCATTTTATAAGATTGATTTTATTTTTTATTTTTTTCATATAAAAATACGAAAAATTAATCATATTTCACTGCATTTTGTTATTATATTTTCTTTTATGTTTGTAATTTATTGATGATTTTTCATTTAAAATAATAAAAAAAAAGTCATATATCACTGTAATTTGTAATTAGAATGTCTTTTATATTGGTAGTTTATATATCACTGCAATGCTTGTATATGAAATGTAAGAACATTGGTTTGGCATCGTGTCCGACAAACCTAAGTGTTTTCTAGAAGATTTCTTGTTAAGCAAGAAAAATAAATTAAAGAGAAGTTTTTCTATTTATTTACTATTGATTATTAAATTCCTAATATTTATTATTAATAATATATAATATATATTAATTGTAGTATGTATTATGGATTCATAATCCTTTAGGAGAAGGATTACATAATATATATTTTATATATTTACTTACCATGTATGCCACATGCTATAATTAGTTCTCTCTTTCTTGTAGGACAAGGAATAAGTGGCAAGAACTATGAAAGGATGAGCAATTCGTGCATAAGGAGTTTTGGATGTTCATGAGAAGATCTAAGGAGGATTTGGAAAGATTCACCACAAGATCTTTGAAAATTTGGAAGATCGGCTATTTTTAGAAAGTCATGTTCTTATACGATTCTGGAAGGCAAGATTTCCATTGGAAGCTCAATTCTGAAGGTCTCCAAATCACATACACGAATTCCACATCAAGGAAACTTACTTACATGAAGGATTTCACCCAAATCAGAAAGCAATCAAGTGAAAAGGAAATTGACTCCTAAAAGTAGGAAAGGAAGAACTTGGAGAAGACTCCACCCTAAGGAGTTGTATATATACTCTGCTTGAAGATAGAAGATCAAGCAGATAGAAGATAGGTTGCTAGGTTGCTGAAATAATTATCTTCCATTCAATATTCGAACTTAAATAATTTGTACCCTTAAATAAACGATAGTGTGAATGGTAAAGGTTTTGAGAACTTCAAATTCCTGGAACGTCGTGTTGGATCAAAAGGTTGTTCGAACACTTGTAGGAAAAAAATATTTAAGTTAAGCAGGAGTTATACAGTGTTTCTTAACGCAACCTGGGGCTTCTTTCTGTTGGTCCATTTGATACATGCTAGGTAGACACATAGTGGCATACCTGACCAAACTAATTCTTATTTTCTCCATTTCTTTTGTAACAATGTACTCAATTTTTATTTATTTTTAATAAAAAGACCTCTTACCTTTGGCAATATCAAATGGCCCCATGTTTTTTTTCTGTTTTGCAAGTATTATACTCATTCTAGAGAAGAGTATTTCTTAGAAACTAAATATCACAAGGGGGTATCGTAATTCTTAAAAACAAATAAGATTTTCAGTAGTTAAGCTAAAACCTTTGAGGTACTTCAACTTTGTAATTCCACCCCTATTTTAACTTTTGGGTTGGGCATTGAATTTGCCATCAATGCCGCTTGTGGTTATTGATTGCTCTTATTATCGTCTCTTTTCTGAATTGTTTTTTGTAGATATTCAAAAGCGAACATCTACTCATATCTTCTAAAAATGTGTATTCACTTTTTTATTGTAATTCATATGTTTTTGTTTCAAAATGCTGTCACAAGGCTACAAGAATCAAACACGAATAGCTCTATTTCACATTCTTTGTGTATGTGGCTAGACTTCGCTCTGTTTTGTTTGGAGAAATAGATAAAGAAACAATAGAACACTAAATGATTAAAATAAATGTTTAGTAGTTCTGGTACCTTGTATTATTTGCAGAAAGATTGGTTAATTACTGCTTCATTGTGCATATTGCATCCCTTTCACAAGGGTACTAGTAGCACGCTTGATTTCCTCAGCATCCCCATCATCAGTGTATTCAGAGAGTAGCTTAGTCGCAACACGATTTTGTTCGCTGTTGAAGAAAGCCTCAACCCTGACAAAGTAGCCATTTCAAAGCATACGCGGGTATCATTTAGTTAAATATCGCGTGGCAAAGAAAAAATAAATTACACAAGGTCCTAAAACTTCGAAAAATGTAAATATAGTCGCTAGCATGCACATTCTAAACAAGCACAGAGCAAAGAGAATTGAAGA